TGTCTCTCTGCCTCAGCCTTCCGCTTCCCAGAATTCTCCTCTCTCCTTGTCCCACCTACTTCCTGCCTGGCCACTGGCCAATCAGTGTTTTATTTAATGACCAATCAGAGCATTTTGACATACAGACCATCCCACAGCAAGACATGGTGTTGGAGAGGTAGCTAAGAGTTCTACATCTTGATCTGCAGGCAGCAGAGGGACACTATGTGCCACACTGAGCACAGCTTGAACATATAAGACCTCGAAGCCTACCTACACAGTGACACACTTTCTCCAACAAGGCACACCTCCTAATAATGCCACTTCCTATGGGTCAGGCATTGAAACATGAGTCTATGAGGAACATACCTAGTCAAACCACCACATTCTACTCCCTGGCCCACCCATAAGATTGTAGCCATAACATAATGCAGAAATACATTTATTCCAATTTCAAAAGTCCCCATAGTCTATAAGTCTCAAACTTGTTTCAAAGTTTGAAGTATCATGCAATCTCTTAGCTGTAATATCCTGTAAAATCAAAAAGCAGATCATATACTTCCAGCATAAGGGCACAGTATATACATTACTGTTCTAAAAGGGAAGAAAAGGAGCATAGTGAGGAAATACTGGACTAAAGCAAGACTGAAAACCAGCTGGGCAAACCCCAAACTCTTCATCTCCAAGTCTGATGTCAAAATCCTCTTCAGATCTTCAACTCCTATCATCTTTGTTGACTGCAACACTTCTTTCTCTTGAGCTGGTTCCACCTCCTGTTAGCAGCTTTCTTCAGCAGGTATCTCACAATTGACATCTCCAACATTTAAGGTCTACAAGGAAATCTAGACTTCACCTTCACAGCTTCATACAGTGGTCTCTCTGGGCCTCCATGCAGGGATACTCCTGCCATACATCTGGACTCAGTGGTTTTCCTTAGTCTCATAGGGAGAATCTATAACCCTTTTCTCGTATCCTTGACTCTAATGCCAGAACCACATGGCCAAAGCTGCCAAGTCCTGCTGCTTCCTGGGACTGGAACATGGCCTCCTCGTTCAATTACATCTTCACCAGCTTTCTGTTTTTGATGGTTTCCTTCACTGCCTAAGCTTGGCTGTCCTAAAACTCAATCTGTAGACTAGGCTGACTCAAATTCATCGATATATTAGCCCCTGTCTCTGGAGAACTTGGATTAAAGTTGTATACCACCACACACAGCCCTTAACTTTTAATTCCTTTTCACAAGTTGGGACCTTAGGTGGGATCTTGCTTTGAAGTCACCACTCCCTTTATTCCATTTAACATCAGGCTTTTCTTTAGTCTGCTTATCTCCTTGAACACAGGACTTAGCTCCATTCCACTTCCTGGTGCCCCCTTTCTTCTCAAATTATACATTCTGTAACTTTCCCTGCTCAGCTTACCCCTCTTCATTATAGATCTTCATAAGAGTAACCACTAATAACCACAAGACAGAGTCGTACTAGGCTGTTTTAAGATTTCCTCTGCCAAAGCAATTTATTCAAAACTCTTCAATTTAGTCTCAGGCAAATTTTTTAAACAAGAGCAAATAGAACCATATATGTCTCCAAAATATCACAAGAACAGTCTCGAGGCCACATGCTAACATTCTTCTCCTCTGAAACCTCTTGAGCTGGGCCCCCACATTTCAAATCATCATCAACACCACTGTCTTCCATGTTCCTACTAGGATGGCCCATTAAGCCTCACTTAAAGCATTCAACTGCTTTTCTAATCCAAAGCCCCAAAATCTACATTCTTCCAAACAAAAACATGGTCTGGCCTATCACAGCAATACCTCAGTCCCTGGTATCAACTTCTGTCTTAGTTTGGGTTTCTATTGCTGTGAAGAGATACCATGGCCATGACAACTCTCATAAAGGAAAATATCTGATTGGGGCTGGCTTACATACAGTTCATTATTTAGTCCATTATCATCATGGTGGGAAACATGGCAGCATGCAGGCAGACATGATGTTGGAGAGGTGGCTGAGAGTTTTACACCTTGATCTGCAGGCAGCAGAGGGACACTTTGTGTCACACTGAGCATAGCTTGAGCATACAAGACCTCAAAGCCCACCTCCACAGTGACACACTTTCTCCAACAAGGCCACACCTACTCCAACAGGGCCACACTTTCTGATAGTATCACTCCCTGATAGTCAAACACATGAGTCTATGGGGACCATTCCTATTTAAACCATCACAGCATGCACGTATGTTTGTAGTGTAGATAATGGAAGGGAACAGTGGTTTTATAACTTTTGCTACTTTATTGTAAGTTCTTAGTTTTGTATCATCACACTGGTCCGTGGCTTTGGTGCTTTATGGAAGATGCACTTCTGACCTGAGATTGACACACACTGTCCTCTTTCCACAGCTGTGTGTCAACCACAGTGCAAACACGGAGAGTGCATCGGGCCAAACAAGTGCAAGTGTCATCCTGGATTTGCTGGAAAAACCTGCAACCAAGGTAGGAAGACAGTGTGAAAGCCATGGCACCTCTACCCTGACAAATAAAAACTCTAAATTCTCACCCCACCATTGTCAACCATTTTCATAGCTGTTTCTTCCAATTAGGAAAGAACTAAAAATAATAAGGTAAATCTTAGAAAAAATATGTTTTCTTAAAGGATGTTCCCTTAATTGTATTCACGGATACTCATTAAAATGTGTTTGTGAAGAAGCAAATTGTTCTCTCTGTAATAGAAGTCTTGTATATTCTGGGGCCGTGAGAGGGGTCAGCAGGTAAGGCACTTCCTGAGCAAGCCTGACAACCTGAGTATGATCCCTAGAACCCACATAAAGGAGGAAGAAAAGAATTAAATTTACAAAGTTGTCCTCTGACCTGCACACATGTGCTGTGGTACATACACCCCCACCACGCACACACAAAATAAATACATACATAAATAAAGTTCTTAAAGTATTAAATTCTAGAATTTCTTGTTTTTCCATTAATGTGTTGGTAAGCCTTTTAAGAAGTGGAGTACCATTTGTTATAGTTAGGTCTGTAGGTATAGCAAAACTGCTGCATTTTTCATTTGGAGAGACTAAAGGTCTTGCCTGGGTTCATGTAAATGTGGGGGCCCTGCCCCTTGCAAGCTGTGAGGAATGACCTGGGAATGTGTGAGCTCAGCCTGGAGCCCCTGTAAACCTTATTAGGGCAAATTGTGCAGAATTATCATACAAAAAACTAACGAACTGCTTTTATCTAGGCCCCCACATTTACATGAGGTAGAAATTAAGCCTCAGAGACACAGAAAATCAAAAGATTTTTTTTTTCCTCAAGGAAAGAAATGTCAGTAAGCAGTAAATGTGAAATAATTTCACGTGGCTGGGAATTAACATGTGATTAAAGTTAGGCATTGGGGTAGGGCAGTCTCACTACAGTCCTATCTGCTTCAGAAGCAGCCTTGGAAAGCTGTGTGATGGAATAACAGCTTGAATGAATAACAGACACTGGCCCAGGGCTTAAGAGATGCCTGGGGGCGACCAGAACGCAGGGCGAGCTGTGCTTCCAACTGGCTGGATTCAGTAGCCTCTCCGCTCTCAGGCTGTTCTGGGTGGTTTGCTCTTCCTTCTGAATCATATTCTGGATTTGTTGCTCTAAGACCAGGTACAAAGTTACGGATCATTATGAAATCATTAGCATTCTCTATAAGATGCATGCTGCCTTTCACAGTGGATGGAATTCTAACTCAAATTCTGACAAGACTGTATTTAATCATTTGCTCCCCTCTTGTTATTCCCCAATGAGGTTATTCATGCCTATTTCCTTCTCCTTAAGTGTCTCTATCCAAACAAATCCACCCCCATCCAAGAAAGAATACTATTAGAAATAATCTCTGTACAATCATCCCACTGGGGAATTCTTTTTAGCATATAAAGATATGCCATCATACAGTTTTTAGAAATTAATGCACATTTTGAATGCATGTTTCATACGAATTTCAGAAGAAACAATTTATAAATACTGATTACTAGAGTTTTGGCTTGGTTTCTGTTGCATATATTGAATTCCTCATCCCAAGGAAAGAACAGCATAGAACGGTACAGATTCTTACATTGAAAACGTTGCGTCTGGGTGTCCCACGTACAGCAGAATGCCAGTTGCCTTGCTGAGCGCAATTATAAGTGCTTTCACCCTAACTATGGTGTCATCAACAACTTGGCTTTCTAGACATTCCAACCCCAGAAACAAATGTGCCTTTGATTTAGGAAGTTAAGTGGCTGATAAACAGAAAGTGTTGTAAAACAGAAAGAAAAAAAAAAAGCCTGCCCTTTTGACATTCTACTGTGAGCCCAGGGGTCTCATGATGTTTTGTGAAATAGCAGTGACCACAATTAACATGGTTTTTCTTAAAGCTTCTAATGTGTGTTCTAATTAAATGTGAACCAAATATGGCACAAGTTTTTACTGTTGAATGAAAGCATGATGATGTGTCTTGCTTGGATTTAGGTAAAATGCAAATAAGCATTTGTGCATTACTTGGGAATATTTTAAACTATTATTAGCAAGGTAACAGTGTAAGGTAAGTCTTAAGTTGGTCATTTGTACTTTAATATTCTAAACAGGGTTAGTTGATTGTTTGGTTTTGTTGTCAGCTGCTGATGCTAAAAGTCACACATTAATCTTATTTTGATTTTTAATGGTATAAAAATGATGGATTATTCATTTGTAATTTTTCTGTGGAAAAGATGACTCATAAGTTTTCACAAAGAGTATTTTGAAAAAAGAGAGAAAGCAGAATTAGAAATTACTTGTGAAGTAGCCGAAGAGTCCTTTTAAGCTCCATCAACATTTTGTAACTGTTTAATATATACTTGTGAAGATTTTTAGGGCTAAAAATGACATCAGTTCAAAGCTGACTCTTATTACCTTCTCCCTGCCGTGAAGATGAGCCCTCCTACCCAACTCCTCTTGACCAAGGCAGTGAACAACCTCTTTTCCAACCCCTGGATCAAGCCACAAGTGCGCCTTCAAGGGGTGAGCGTACGTTGTCTCAGGTGGTCGCTCCTCCCACCTGCACGGCTTCCTGCCCTTACGTCACTTCCTGCCAATGCCTAGAAGACTAGCGCAGAAGTGCCCAGCAGCCTTCCGCCTGAGCATGTGAAGCAAGCCGTGGGAGCTGTCACCTGTCGCTGATTCTCTGTGCCTTGGAAAGCATGGAGCCTTTTCTTCTCTTACTGTATCACAAATCAGTACTGTCCCTCCTCTTCTCTGAGTCTGGGAACCTTTTCCAAAAATCAGATCAAAAGATAGTTTGCATTTTCATATGTAGGCAAAACCCGGAAATTCCACTACTAAGCTGTGGATTTGGATGACCATTTCCAGGTAGATTTTGAAAGTAGTTTAGTGGCCTCTTCTCTCGCTGTCTGGGATCTGGGGTTTTAGGCTTGTTTAGAAATCAAACCACACATTTGCTTCTTTCTTCCGATGCACACTGTGTAATCTGAAGGGTCAAGTTCTGGTTCTAATTAGTTGTTTATTGGCAACCCGTTTAAAGTGTCCACACCACTCTGTAGTAGGGGAAGTAAAGTAGGTCCCGTCCTGCATGTCTGTGGGGCCGGTGGGAGACTCACTAACCCAAACTGTTTTCATCTTCATAGTGATGGGGAAATCTGTAGGTGAGTAAGGTGGTAGGATCTCTTTCTAGTTCTTCTGATTTTATCCTTACCCACTCAGAGGCTTAAGAACTTATGGCTACTGAAATAGTTTATGAATAGTTATTGTCTCTGCTGATGGGGAATGTGTTACATCTGCACTAAGGACCAGGACAATGGTGTTCACTTTAGAGCTGTTAGTAATTAAGAGAAAGTTATGGCCGTTGCTATTTTGATGATGTTCGTCTATGGCCTTACTTTAGTGAGATAAAGTTTTAAAGGTTAGGTTTCTGAAGCATCGTCTGTCCACTTTAAGCATCAAAAGGAAAACAGTCCAAATACATTAAAGTGAATGGATGATGCTTTTCTGTAAAACTAGTGGTTATCTTATTTAATGACTCCCTTCCAAGTTTTTTTCAAGCTACCTTTCTTTATCTGCATGTAAATACAGTTTCTGACTCTCTTTACCCTGAAGTCTAATAATGATGCTATGCAGCTTGCATTTCTGTTCTGGGCCAGCCCCTCTCCTTGTCTCTACCTTCCCCATCTAAGCTCTGAAATCCACCGACCTGCTTAAATGTACCCCTGATGACAATGCTCTTTCGTGAATTATGTACATATTTAAAGTGTTGGAATGTAAGGGATACAATTATATCTTTTAGTGTAAGGTACGTGCATGATAGAGTTAATTGTAATTTTATTACAGATCTGAACTATGCTTCCAGGGTAAGATTAAAGCAAAGTTAAAGTAAAAACCCTCAAGTTTATTTCCAAGACTCGACTGTCAAATTTAAAAAAAATTTTTTGGAAACAGCGAGGATCAGGAGGAGTCTTTCATGCTTGTTAGAAGGACATTTACCATAATTTGAAAGTGTCATCTAAAATGTCTGACTTAATTTGATAAAATACAAATGCGAGTATCACATTTATCAGAAGCAACACATAGTAACTCAATTTTGTGAGGTTTGGGGTCAACAAAACCATAAAGTGGGATGATTATAGACTCGAAACTTTCAAGAGAATGGAAGGGGAAGAGGTTCTTCAACAGGATGCCGGAGCGTTGGTGCTTCCTGTTCATCAGGATCTGTTTCTGGGTCGGTGCTGATAAAGGGCGGCTGGACCCCTGTTTTGTTATGCCTGCAGCGGCTCCGGTCAGGGTTACTGTCAAGTTTGTTGGAGATGGGGCCAGGCAGTCATTGGGGACACTAACATGACACCGGCCACCTGTCAAGGGAACCTCATCCAGCCCATTAACAGCTGCTAGGGCAATTTCTCAAGTTGCTTTCCACATGCTTGGGTTCTTACATAGCAGTTTACAGCAGGTGATAGAACCAGCGTCTCCTTACTTTTTACACATTGGATGTCCTGTTTTCTTCCTTTTTCCTATTTTTTTAATAGAGTAATTTTCAGATTTTTAAAAACTATGACAGGCCAAGTGGTGGTGGTGCATACCTTTAATCCCAGCACTTGGGAGATCTCTGTGAGTTTGATGCCAGCTTGGTCTACAGAGCAAGATCCAGGACAGGCACCAAAGAAACAAAAGCAAAAACAAAACAAAACAAATAAACAAACAAAAAACTATGACAGTTTGTTAGTTTTTATATCCTTTTGGTTTTAAGATAAATCTAGCTAAAATCAGTCTTTAAGACCCCTGGCAAGCCAGTCTGGATTCCCAGAGGAGTCCCAGGGAGCTCATGGAGCAGTTCTGAGTCAGGCTGTGGAAGTACTGGCTCCACAGTACTCCTCAGCTTTAACCAGAGAGACTGGGTCTGGAGAGATTGCTGCTGACATCAAATCCTCCTTGCTTGTGAGCTGTCCAGGGCTATAAACAGCTGCTGGTTCCAGTAAGGAACCTCCAGCAGTCTCTGCTGCTCTCTGAAAATAAACTAGGGGATCTTAATTGATACTTTTAAAAGCCTCCTCTTGAAATACAGAATCAAGTCTTACTCTTATTTTTGAGATACTGATTTGTTACATGCTTTTGAGCACAGGAAAAGATTCTGTCTTATAGTATACTCAGATTTAAGTACTTATCTCCAGGGATTCATCAAGGCCAGTGTGATGCCACAGCAGTGATGTTAAGGATGATAACAAAACTTTTAGAAGATAAGAAAGATTTCCCTGACTCAGATGAATAATAAAGTTTCAACTACAAGCTAGAAGAGAATGAACAGAAAATAGAATTTCACTTGAGGTGGTCCTGCTCATTCCTACTTCATTCAACAGGCAGAGTCAGGTTTTTGATAGAATAATCTACAAAGTGTCTTCTATGAACACAGAGAGATTTTTTTAAAAAATGCTTAAAATGTGATTCTGTTTTGAAAACCTTTGACTGGGCGAAAGACAATAAAGCAAAGAACTGAAAAAAAACATAGGAAATGGCAAAGGTATTTGCCATGTTTATCTAACCTTTCCAGACTTTGCCCAGCTGGCGAGGTGCTTACACTATGGTAAAGGTAGAAAAAAGACCAAGTTGGAAAATCAGTAAGATGTGAAAATATCCTTAGATGTAATATTTATTGGGTGACTTTAAAACGTAATGTAACTGGAGGCTTCAGTGAAATACTACATACCTCTAGTAAATGAGCAGGTCAGATGGAATTTTGATTAGATTTGGAAAGAACTTTGTAGCTAGATACATTATCTGTATTTTTATTCAGTGATATGGATAAATTGATAATTAAGTTATGCTAATCGGATACTTCTGCTGTTGTTGCCAGACAAAATAAACATGTGGTCACATTTCTTTTTAATGAGGTCTATGTTATGGGCATAACTATTTCAGTGTTTTAAGTCGTTTTAAATTTTATATTGACTTGAGGCAGTGTTCACTTTGTGCTGGAAAACTTTTATATTGTGGAATTCATTAATTTCACATTGATATTTAAACCAATAAGCATAAAATACATAATGATGTTCTGTCCCTTAGTGTTTCCACAAGCTCCTCTTAACTGACAAATGAATGCAAGTATATTGGAAGGCTTTAAAACTTGTTTTGTGATTTGAATGGATTAGTAAAACAGGAGGCTGAATTCTCTTTAATCCAAGGTCAGGATAGAACCTGTCAAATTGAACAAGAAAAGTCACAATAGTGATGGGTTGGATCCATGTGGTTTTTTGTTTGTTTGTTTGTTTGTTTGTTTGTTTGTTTTCCCCCCCTCTGAAAACCTTTGAGAAGGTCAAATCATTCTGATGCTTTAATATTTGCATGTTCTCTGTGAAGTGAAAAGTGTCGTGGAGCATCCTTTTGAGTAGAATCCATTATCACAAGTGAGTCTAATAGTGGAATGCAGGTATTTTAAGCTTAGTGTCGGTCAGACAGACAGTAGAGCATCCCTACCCGTGGGGTGAGGGTGCTGCTCTTTGGAGATTACAGTCAGGTACACATCTGTGAGGAGAATACTCCTAACTGATCCCCAGGATCAGAGATCCATAATGGTCCCAGCAACATCTGGTTGCTTTCAGTGTACTGCTCATGTTGGTACACACAGACTTTATCTGTCGTGGAAGTGATGATTTCACTGTTTTGACCTTTTTTTTGCCTTCATCCTCCACATCGAGAAGCATTTTAAACATTCCCCATCATTGCTGAGTTTTGTGACTTTTCTGCTTTAATCCCATTCTTTGCAGATTTGAACGAGTGTGGCCTGAAGCCGAGGCCCTGTAAGCACAGGTGCATGAACACTCGGGGCAGTTACAAGTGCTATTGTCTCACCGGATACATGCTCCTGCCAGATGGGTCCTGCTCAAGTATGTCAAGAATCTTAACCGTTTTCGAAGTGCTCTAGGCTTGATTTCTGATGTGCTTTGGTAGCCTGCCTTTGGGAAAGCCGCCTCTTCCTCTCTCCTGAGCAGGATGTGTGAGTGTGTTTGTGTGCATGCCCGAGGAACTGAAGATCAAAATGACAGGTGCACATTTACACGTGACGTTCTCTTACTGCGCAGGCGGACATCAGTTGGTTTATGATGTATCTAGAGCAAGAATCCCATTTTCTAATCTTTTTCTCTGCGTTGTTTATCCCAGTGTTCTCTCTGGGTAGAGAAGAACCACTCCAGGTCAAAGGATATTAATGATCACTGGGCATTGCTTAGAGAGAACCCATCGGCTCTGTTCATAAACACTTCTAAGTTTATTTCTGTAATTCTTGATAATAAGCTTCAGGATAACTTAAGACTTATGGAAAAAGAAAAACTTGCTTTAAATGAAATGAACATACCATCAGAAAAAAATGAGTTATTTCTTTTTAAGCAGGGTCTCACAGATCCCAGGCTAGCCTCCAGCTTTCATACAGCTGAGAGTGACCTTGAATGGCTGACCTTCCTTCCTCCACCCGCGAGTGTTGAGATTACAGGCACTGTCAGGATTGCTTTTCTGAGGTGCCAGAGTTAGAAGAGCCTTCATGCATGCTAGGCA